TTATCTTACGTAGCTCTTTCAAAAAAATGGTTGAACAATTAATATTGATAGAAAACTAGACAGATATGATTTTGTTTGCCAAGTTGTTTATTTATTCATTTTTTTAACCTGATCTTCATATTAATATACTTACTTCTGGCCCTCTACTTTATGCATTATAATTTACTTCCAGTGTATATCAGACAAAACTAGCTGTAAGCTATTTTCTGATTTCCTTTTTACCCAATATATATATATATATATCTTACCATTTGTTTGCTTCGTATTTGTTTTTCTGTATGGCTTATTTTTGTTATTTTTTTTAGTGTTTCTTATTGTTATTATTATTATTGGGTAAATAAATAAATAAATATTGCTATTATTATGAAGTTATCGTTGGTTCTAATAGTTTATAGTTCGAGTTCATTTGATGCTGATACAAAATCAGATGAAAAGTATGATCGTCGAACTATTTTTCCTACAAAGATGTGTCGAACGTCCACGAAATGGGAATTTTTGAGCTATTAATAATTGGTTCTGATGGTGAAAAGGTATCGCATTTTCGTTTGATTAAATATGATTAAAATTCATATGTTGTTATACTAGTACGCATGGTTGTCCCAAAATATTTTAATGAAATATTACTCAAAACAGGTTTTTCCAACAACAACAACAACAAAAATCATTTCGTACTGGATGTCGTGATCATAAACGCATACTTTTTTCTGTTGTTTTTTTTTTCTGTTGGAATAATAAACATATGCTATGCCACATATATATCATGTCAAGATTTGTATAACCTGAACAAATAATTATGGGTTTGTGGGTAAACATCGAATGTTGTCGAGTCGCATATACACAATATTGTATTCTCCACTGTCCAGATACAAATACTGAAAATCACGTGGTACCGATCGACCAACGAGAAAAGCGCCATGACAGCACATAGCAATATACATTACAGTGTAAATCAGAGTACAGTATGCCCTGCCTTCCAAACACGCGGTATTAAGTTTGTACACAATGAAATCTACTTCATTCTGCCTTTCAGTAATCGTACTTACTTGAATATGAAGAGCAAACCAATAGGCAAACAATCTGAAAGGTCGTCCGGTTTATCATAATAATATAGATTAATACATAGGTTTGAAAAGGGCGGGATTAAAACTATTCACATGAAGATCGTAAAATTCAAATTGTTCACTCACAGTGGCAGTAAGATGTGGACACTCGTGGGGAGGGGAACATAATCATTGTTAACTGTAGTAATATCGACCCGTCAAATGAATACTTGTCCCAAACGTAATCTTTGTCCAATCATTTAACGATATACATATGATAATATGCTCGAGATTTGATTGCTGAAATATGTTAATGCTTTATTAATTATATTTTAAAGATAATCTAATCATATATTATCATCAACTGCTTTGATAGTTGCTCGTGACCTGTGACATCCTGATATTTATATTGCAGCTTCGCTCCACATTAAAAAAATACATATTACAGTATATCTATATTTGGCGAGGTCAGACATTCATGCAAAAATTTAGATTTTATGTTGGGACACTAAATTCTGTTGTTGCAATATTTGCAATTGTTTCGATATTAATAATGCGTGCAAATTTGTTGAACATATATCTAATTCCTTTCACTTGATAATTCGTTTTTGATCTTTATTCATTTATTGTTCTATAGCCCAGCTATTCACAAGTAATCATAGTGGTATATACAATAGCAAAGAACATACCACAGTGCTGTCCGATACAACAATATATGATATATGTCATTAACGTTAGTTCTGGGATGATCGTGAGTGTTGTAATGATCATGAATATGGCTGTTTTAATTACTGTGAGGACGATCAGGGCCATATATGTCGTTCCAGCTTTCGATAAATCTACGTGAATCAGAATGCGACGAGTATTCAACGCCGATCTGTTTCTGTGAGTCATGTATGTTTTATGCCAACTTATTGATTAATAGGTCAACGAATTGTTAAACTCCTCATTGACAATAAAGTGTCGGGTTAGTACAAATATTTGTATAGCCCATGGTCATATATTGAAACTATAGATTGTAGATTCCTTTCATTCCATCCAGCTAATTTGTTACGCACTGTGTGTATTAATACCCATTCTATCATTATTATTGATTTCGTCGTTGTATTATGTCGTATTGCAGTCTTGTTATGTACCAATGTTTGCACCATCGATAACTCTGTGGGGGTTCGATTGCCAGGTTTGTGATACGTACAGCTGGGTACCAACTCATTCGTTATTATAAGTTTCATCTTTGCCAGCCAAGGATCATTTATTCGGGGTAAGCCTCAACATTAACTATTGGCAGATTTCACCAAAATTTACTGTATGTCGCACGCCCTCAAGCGATTATAAGATTCACTCGGGCTCATTTGCATTACCTTATCAGAATTCACAATAGAAACGACACATACTTGGTAAAATAGTGGAATATAGAAATCAACGAACGATGAACGAGCTTACTGACCTTCAAATGAAAGCGCTTAGTGCTGTATCTGAGGGAAATGATGTGTTATCAGTTTCGACAGTTTTGTCAGTTTAATAAAAACGGTTTGCACAAATGTTTAGACATTTCATCGTCTTCATTTACTTGCCCACAAGCAATTTTTAACGTTGTGTCAACGAATGTAGATCTTTCTGTTCTTGACTGGCAGTGAATTAGCGCAAAGCCTGCACACCGCCATTATTTAATCAGTGGTGACGTTCAAATTTCTGATACAGCAACGCTGATTGGTGGCGCCAGCTCCTTGCCGCGCCCAATCAAATGACTCAATTTAACTGCAGTGAAATACAGCGATCACGCACGGGTTCGTGGGCCGGTTATGAATGGCCGGCTTTAGCGAAATCGTGCGATTCGGACGATGTATAAGTTTGGTTGTTTGTGAGGTTGTGGTCTGCAACGATGTTAGTAATACCGTTGGTAATATGCTTGATGATAGTTCTTCCGCCCTTGACGAAAACGCTGTGGTGGTTACTGTAGACGTTGTGATTGTTTCAGTACTTGTTATTAGAACCGAATCTGACAATTATTTAAACACACCCAAATGTATGCAATCAAATATAACCTCAGACAGAACGGCCAGGTCATTACAGTACCTGTAGATAGTACAGGTCACCCACTGCGTTTGTTCTATTACCTCCGTGCATGCTCAACAGTATTCCTATTAACCAAACTCACAATTCCAATCATACCATGCCCGCAAACCACCTGATGATGTCATACTCATCACCATGGATACACGCTCACCCTCACCCGTGGCATTTGGATTAGATCACCTGTACGTATATCCCAGCTATTGAATAATATCTTTTCACCCTTGAGACCATTGCCTATAGAACGATTAAAATAATATTTTATAGATGGTACAATAGCTTTCAGACGCAAACTCCAGAGATCTCGCGAGAGCCACGAGCATTGAGCATAACCCATGGTATTTGGAACAGGAGGCGTGATGATATAAGAGAATGGCAAAACCAAATCTCGAGGCTTTCTCGCTCTGAACGAGATCTTGGCGGCCATTTGCGTTTGAGATTGTTTCCAAATTGTATTGCAACGATCGACCTCCATCTGTATAGTCGACAAACAGAATGGTGAGAATGTGGTATTTCAAATGAGAACTGTTGCCATGGAAATGGTGTAAAACAAATGTGTCTCAGTTCAGTGTTTCTCTCATTCGATACAAACAAGAAACTGGTTCCAAATAATTTGGCAGCTAGCGCCACTATTTACTCTGGTCTCAAACTACTCGTTGCTACGACAGTTTGTATTCAATGTCATGGGACTAATCTCAACCAATCACAGCACACGTAACAACATTGAGATGTGATAAATCCAGTAAGTACTATATGCGTATGTCCATTGTATTTCCGGTAA